CGGAGGCCGCGAAGCAGCTGCAGCCGCCGCCGCGCAGACCCACGCTGGCTCCGTGCGCCATGGTCACCCACAGCAAGTTTCCCGCCGCCGGGATGAGCCGCCCCCTGGACACCAGCCTGCGCCTCAAGACCTTCAGCTCCAAGAGCGAGTACCAGCTGGTGGTGAACGCAGTGCGCAAGCTGCAGGAGAGCGGTTTCTACTGGAGCGCCGTGACCGGCGGCGAGGCAAACCTGCTGCTCAGCGCCGAGCCGGCCGGCACCTTCCTCATCCGCGACAGCTCGGACCAGCGCCACTTTTTCACGCTGAGCGTCAAGACCCAGTCCGGGACAAAGAACCTGCGCATCCAGTGCGAGGGGGGCAGCTTCTCCCTGCAGAGCGACCCGCGGAGCACGCAGCCCGTGCCCCGCTTCGACTGCGTGCTCAAGCTGGTGCACCACTACATGCCGCCCCCCGGCGCCCCCTCCTTCTCGCCGCCCACCGAACCCCCCTCACCCTCCGAGGCGCCCGAGCAGCAGCCGCCCGCCCAGCCGCCCCCGGGGAGCCCCCCTAGGAGAGCCTATTACATCTACTCGGGGGGCGAGAAGATCCCCCTGGTGTTGAGCCGGCCCCTCTCCTCCAACGTGGCCACCCTTCAGCATCTCTGTCGGAAGACCGTCAATGAGCGCCTGGACTCTTACGAGAAAGTCACCCAGCTGCCGGGTCCCATCCGGGAGTTCCTGGACCAGTACGATGCGCCGCTTTAAAAAGCAGAGGGCGGAGGTGTGGGGAGCGGGGCTCGGGTCCCCCTACTTCCGTGGCACATGGCACAAGCACAAAAATCCAGCCGAGAGTCCAGGAGCTCTGGGCGAGCTTGGGGGAGGGGGGCGGATAGGCCCCTGCCTGGGCTCCCCCTGCCAGAGAGGCAGGCGGGACCGGGAATGTGTCTTAAGGGAAGGGGCGATGCCACCTGGGCTCCCCTCCCCCACCGTAGCTTCTCCTGGGCGCCGGCCGGCCTGGCGGGACAATAGCAGCGACAAGTGGATTCTCCTCTTCCCTTCCTCCGCTCCCTCTCGGGTCCCCAGCTGGGAAGTGTCCAACTAAGAGAACTGCCGGAATCTTCAAACTTTCCAACGGAACTTGTGCTTTTGATTTGGTTTAAACCTGAGCAGGGCTAGGGGCTGGGATAGAGGATGGAAAAAGAGGGTGCTTGAGGGGCCCCAGGCGCCCAGCCCAGGTGAAGAGGGTCTGGGTGTGGGAGAAGGGCAGGGGGCGACCTGAAGGGAAGCGTCCGGTGCCCCAGCCCCTCCCCCGCCTGAAGGAGGAAGTTGCATTTGGAGGGGGCGGATGGGCTGGTCAGTGAGCCTCCTGGTCTGGTCCTGCCCCCCCAGCTGTATTTCCCAGCACCTGGCCTCACAGGTGGAGGAGATGAGCCTTCTTTGATCCCAGAAGATGGATTCGACTTTGTGCCTACTGACGATGTCCGGCTGGAGATTTGCCTTAAATGCTCCCTGTCCCATGGATAGGGACTGGCACACGAGGAGCCCCAGTCTGCCCCTCCAGGCAGAGAGGCCTAGGGATTCTCTGGAGGGCCCCGAGCCAGCCACTGGCCAGAGGACAGGGGTGGATGGGAGGCAGAGACCCGGCTCGGGGAGAATGTTAGTCTGTTGGTATTGGCCAATACCAGGTGCCTCGCGGTCAGAGCAGAGCCACCAGGTCCCACAGCCCCCAGGCCCTGCACAGCCCTCCCCCTGCCCTGGGGGTGGGGGGCAGGAAGTCACCAGGCGCCTGCCGCTCCAGCTGCTCTGTCTCTGCCACTGATCAGTGACAATGTATAGGAATGTAGCAGCAGTGGGATTACCTGGAACTGTTCTTTTTGGGGGGGAAAACTAAACACACATGCGTAGTTTTCTGTGTCAGGTATCAGGCAAGGTGGGGCAGCTGTGTGTTGGGGTGGTTTTTCTTTTCCTGTTTTTTGTTTGTTTTTTAATAATGTTTACAATCTGCCTCAATCACTCTGTCTTTTATAAAGATTCCACCTCCAGTCCTTGCCCCTTGCCCCCAGGCCTTCGCGGCTGTTAGGAAATGCTTGAAGAACTCAACCAAATCCCAATCCAAGTCAAACTTTGCACATATTTATATTTATACTCAGAAAAGAAACATTTCAGTAATTTATAATAAAGAGCACTATTTTTTAATGAAAAATATGACTTGAGCCTCCCCCCCCCGTGCCCCTTCTCTGCCTCGATTTCTCTTTCACCCTCACCCACACTTCAGCGTTGGAGGAGAGGGAGGGGGCCGGGGAGCCGGCTGGCTGTGCCTGACTCCCGCACGGCCTCTCAGCCTTGTGTCACTGCGCCTGCCCAAGAGTGTCCCTGACAAGCTAAGGCAGCCACCTAGACTGTTGGCAGGAGGGGTAATTCCTGCCAGTCTGATTCAGATCTGACCAGAATATGCAAAGCAAGTTGGAAGAGCTTCAAAGGGCTTGCAGGGAGTAAGTCGAGCTGTGGTCAAAGCTGTTAGAGACTCAGCTATTAGAGGCACAAGGACTCCTTGGCAGGGGTGTTCAAGAAAGCACAGATAGAGGCCCTGACAGGTGACTGGTGACCTCAGCACTGTGGGTTCGGGGAGGCGGGAGGAGTGATATCCCGAAAACAGTGCAGATGGAGCCACTCACTGGCACTGGTGTTACAGAGCTTCCTGGCCCCGCCCCCCATATTTCAAGCTTCCCTCCCACATTCCTAGGGACCCTGAGCCGAGAACTACGCCGAGCTCATCCCAGAAATAGCACCCATCTATCTGCCCATCTCCCACACCCCACACACTTAGAGGCTACCCAGGATGACTCCCAAGACAACTCCCCCAAAAGCAAGGAGTTCTCTCAAACACAGCTTTGTTCCAGCAGGGGCTTGGACAGGTCACTTCTGGTGCCTGGATAGGTGCTCAGTAAATATTTGTCAACCAAGTGGCGGCAGCACCTCGGGTCAGGGAGGTTGAACAACCTGCCCAAGGACACAACCCCCCCCCAATGTGAGAGCACCAGGAGGTTGGAATTCAGGAGCTTTGAGTTTCCAAAGCCCACAAGCTCTCTGCCTCTCCATGCACTAAGTAAATGCCCACAGAAGTGAATCCCTGCTTAAAAAGCCAAACAACAAACACCTGTGATCCTTTCATGCTACGCTTTCTTCAACTTCCCAGACATATCTGCCTTTGGGATGTGGCCATCTCCCCAGTCAGGGGCCTCCTCCTCCTCATCGAAGTCTCAGATGCCTGCAACCAAAGCCAGAGCCTCTTCCTGGCCACCAGCAAGCAATAATCTGCTCCAGGAATCAGTGTCCGAAAGGCAACTGAGAGAGTAAAGTCATTTTTCTTTCCCATTTCCTGGACTTTGGGGAAAATGACCTAAAGTAGTGAGAAGGGGCCAGGCCAGGCAGGAGACCACTGAGTGGACGGAGCAGCGGGAACTTCAACTCTGGAACTGGGACTGCAGACCCAGACGGGGCTGTGTCTCCAGAGCAGGTGAGGGGACCCAGGCCTGTAGCTGGACACCTCTGGTGGCTCTTCCTTACCCTGCAGTCTCAGTTGGCCACCACTGGCCTCCTGCTGCAGAGAGCCCCACTTCTGCACAACAACAGCTTTGGGGGGGCTCCATGTCCCTGTCCTTGGCTGGGGTGTGGTCATTTGGCCAGGGTATCCAGTATTCATAGTGCTGAATGCTGGCTTGGGGGAGGTGCAGGGTCAGGACCCACCCCAGCCTTCCATCTGTCTCTACATCTGGTCCAACCTTTGGGACTGACAGAAAAGGAGACAGGCCAGGAGAATGGAAGCAAATTGCTCACGCTCACCAGGCGAGCTAGTGGTCACACCTGTCAACCATCTCTTCCTTCCATGGTTCTGCAGACCACCAGCATCTTCCTCTCCTTCTTCATCCTATCCTCAGTACACTCCTCCGGCGCATCTTGGTCCTTTCAGGGGAAGACACGGCACCCCCTCCTCCAAAGGACTTAGTGGGAGCCCTCTGTCCTGACTGCCAGAAGTTGGGTGCTCCTGGCTCCAAGATGCGTTAGGAGGAGCCTGCAGGGGTTGGGGCAATTCCCTGAGGCTTGCACAGGTACCCCATGGACACCAGAAAGGCCCTGTGTCCTATTACTCTGCTCAGGGCACTGTTAAGAATCCACCCCAAGAGGCCCCATCCTCTCCGGTGGTGCTGTTTTTGGGCAGGAGGCCTCCAGATGACTTGGAGCCAAGAATGGGAAATCTAAGGCCTGCTTGCGGGGAGGGAGGAAGGAGGCCGCAGGCAGGGGAGTCAGGGATGGAAAATAAACCCGCACAAGGTGTCCTAACCTAAAGAATGAGTAAGGATGTTCGGGAGGGGGCACCGCAGGGGTGCCAGGCAAGAGAGGCTCGGGGGGTGAACAGGGAGTCGAAGCAGAGACCGAAGTCTGCAGGCGCAGGGGACTGGGCCCCCAGGATCGCGGTGGAGGGGATCAAGGCGGGGGGGTGAGCAGAAGCCCGAG